CCTGAATACTAGCTGGAATTTCAGTTAAAAAGAAGAAATGAAACAGCACTTTTAAGGGAAAAAAGCCTATCTGTGTCTTTAGTGTATTATTAACTGAAGAATCAATGCTGCAGTGAGCCTACAGGATAATGGTATGGTCATGTTAGTGGTTTCCTTTAATCACTTTATTGCTCTGTCACCACTACTTCCTTGCAAAGAGAACAAAGATAAACACCCGGATAGGATTCAGTATTCATATTAGTACAATATATTATTATTCTTATCTAGAATGGATCAGCTTCCTCTGCATTAAGATTAATAGTCCCTCAAGCATTAGAAACATCCTCAACCCAGTTCAGTGTACACCTCACTGTTCTTAAGTAATTTGCTCCTCCATAATTGATTACATTCGTTTTCCTTTTATATATCTATTATTATTATTATATATTACGTAATACTATCTCTCTCTATATATATATTATATTACTTATATAAAGAAAATATTACTAGGGAGAGTACATACTTGCCAGAATGTATGAAGCATAACTGTGAGGAGAACTGGCCCCAGATTTTAATAGGTACCATTCTTTGTTCTGCAGATTTTTCCCCTCCTTATTTTTCTACTGTAGATTCCTCTGTCCTAGTTGTATTTGCACAATATGCACAAATCCTCCAAATATAGTGCAAGACTACTTTTCCCATAGACATGCCACTAATTTGAAGTGCAAAATTTCCATTGTCACTCCCAAATCTGAATTTCCAGTGTAAGAATTCAGTATGTCACATTAATGCTCCAGTTTTCAGCCCAGCTAAATTTTACCCACATTTTCAATTCCTGAAGCAAGACTTTCATGTTAACTACTAAAGTTTCATTTTCATTTCCAAAGGTTCAGTTCACATTACTGTAGATTTTTCTGTCTTCAAAAACATTTTAGTGCAGTTGAGTTGACAGTTACGTTTGACAAGGCGAGTGAATAGAGCACGTTGAACTCTCTCACCAAAACACTTCACCTTCTGCCTGAGGAAGGTCTTCATAAACCCTGAATAGAAGAAATGTGTAGCAATATCAATGGAAAGTACCTGAGTCACCTTTGATTTGCAGATGATATTATCATATTTGCTGGAAAGTTTTGAAGCAATGATCAGAAATTTCAGTATGAAGGAGTAGGAAATGTTGACTCATGATGAATATACAGAAGACCAAAATCACGTTTGACAATTCCAACAGAAGAAAAGAATATAGAGAAAAATAACTAGAATCTGGAACCATGGACATTAGTTAATCCAACCTAAAGAGATGAGATGAAAAGAGGCTTAATAAAGAGCTTCTGGAGGACCAAAAATCATGAGCATCAAATTCCACCTTTACTTGTAAATGTATTTTTGGATATCTTTGTATTATTAGCCAGGATATTTTTAAAACAAAACCAAAAGGTATTTAACCAAGAAAACACAGGGGATGAAACTGGAAAGTGAAACGGGGATAATGTATGTTTGCTTTCACAATGAAAACCAAATAATAAGCAAAATCAGTTTATGGGGACTACGTAAGCTGTAAAGAAAGAAATATTGCAATGAAGATGGTAATGCTGGAAGATAGACGTGATCTATATTTCTTCTCTCTATCATGAGAGTGAAGAGTGTGGATTGCCTGGGATAGGTCAGGTGCCAGTAGCAAGAAAAGTAGAAAGACATGTTAAGAATCCATAACCAGATTTGGCAAAAGGGAAAAAATGATAATAACTGGCAGTCTTGTATGGGAGTCGTAAATAAATAAATCACACAAACAACTGAAAGAGTTTATTAATTGCACATTGAAATTCACGACTTGTGCAATTTCTATGTTCAGCTCAAAGTGTTATTTGCGGAAAATATTGCGTCCAGCACAAGTATTTAAGCTGGTTTAGTTGGAATGAAATGACTAGCATAAGAAAGGTCTTACAAAGCTATTAAAAGAATGATGCTGAAGTCAGTGAGGATTTTGACCATCTCATGGCTTAAAAACAGCCTTTTTGCTGTGGTTAGTAATCTTCTGGTGATCAGTTTCAGGTAGTCAACGGAAAGACAAATGAAGAATTTGAAGCTCCCTTTGACTGTCATCTCAGAGGCAAATCCTTCTGTGCCCTCTAGCGTGAGCAGAGGACCCTGCCTGCAGTTTTATTATGTGAGAGGTATAGAAGTGGCATACTAAAACACCAACCAAACCCCTTGTGTAGTATAGAACTGCTCGGTAGTGGGCCCAATGAATGTCATGATGCCAGAGAGTCCTGGAGGTGGGCTTAGAGAGGAGCTGTCAGGTCTAAGTGCACTGACCATACTTTGGTTGGTGAAGGACAAAAGAATCCCTACAGATACTGCAGCTACAGAGTAGATCCATAATGTGCAGAGATGTGCCTCTTGTTCCAGTAGAACACAACTGTGCATTGGTATTAGGATTTAGATGTTGGCATGAGACCCATGTTATAAGAAAGATCAAGAGTGGCTATTACTATCCCTAACTTATGTTCTAGGCCTGTTATCCAGATAAGACTAATCTAATGCACTCTTTCCTACACCCCTTAGCCCTGTGTATGAAGGCAGTAAGGGCTGTAGTATGTGGCTGCTCCCTTATCCTTTGGGTAAGAGGTCTACCACTGAAAACATCCCACTAATTTCACTGGCTAGTGAAAGTCAAAATCTTCACACGGTAAGGAAAAGTCTTCAGAATCTAGGGTCCAGAACTTTCAATTGCCTGGAGGATGAGCAGGAGAGGAAGCCAGAGGAACATGATCTGCATTCAAAGGGTCAAAGCAGAGACCTGCATATAAAGAAGATGACCATTTATGGTTTACTCAATAACCAATATGGGAGTTGAACAATAAATCTTTTAGACATACTTCAAAATCTCAACCTAAAATGATATTGTGTAATAGTATGTTTGTTTTAATCTTATTCTCAAATAAATCAATAAGGAATTTGACTAACCCAATGATACACAAATGCATGAATTATAAAATGGAAGTTCTTGATTTAATTCTGCATTCTTCGGTCACTAGACTAGGCTGCAGTTCTGTATTGTCTTCAGAAATAGTGTAAGAATTACTTACAGTAATATGTCATGCCGTTCCTAAGAAAAAAATCCTTTTTACAACACTTACTGGTAAATTCATGCTTAATTCAACATGACTGGGATTCAGGAGGTGTGTGCGTCTTCAATCCCTGACTGTCACATATTTCTTGTGCAATTTTGGGTAAGTCGCTTAGGGTGAAGTTATGTTATACTTAGGCCATACTAAATCTGTGACATGCTAAACCATGATGAAGTTAGAATGGTCTATGAGCAGTTGTATGTTAAGAGTTAATACCATGTCTTGCTTGCATAGCTCTGACTTACTACTAGAGGGGTGGCTAGGATGACCCAAGCAGGGGTGTTGCTAGGATCCAGGACAACCAGGTTCTATCTCTGCTCTGGGAACAAGGTGGACGGAGGCTGGGAGCAGTGCATCTTGGGATGCTGGAGGACTGCAAACTGCTCATTTTCCCTCTTAACATAGGCTAGGTCAGGGGTGGGCAAAATGCGGCCTGGGGGCCAGATGCAACCTGCCAGGCCATTCTATCTGGCTCGCAGGGCCCCTAAAAAAAATTAATATTTATCTGCCCCAAGCTGCCTGTCATGCACCTCTCAATGACTTGCCAAAACTCAGTAAGCGGCCCTCTGCCCAAAATAATTGCCTGCCCCTGAGCTAGGTAGTATGGCCCAAAATTAACCCTCACCCAAAGTAGTGTAATTGAGGTGTTCAGAGGGCACTTGG